ATCATCATCATCATTACAGCCCTTCACAAGTCCACTGCTGAACATAGGCCTCCCCCAAAGAATGCCACAAAGCACGGTCCTGAGCCACCTGCATCCAACGACTTCCTGCATGTCTTACCAGGTCGTCACTCCATCTCGTGGGGGGACGCCCTACACTTCGCCTACCGGTACGAGGCTGCCACTCGAGAACCTTTCTTCCCCATCGGTTGTCGGTTCTTCGAGCTATATGGCCGGCCCACTGCCACTTCAGCTTACTAATTCGTTGGGCTATGTCGGTTATTCTGGTTTTACTGCGGATATCCTCATTCCTAAGTTTATCACGCAGAGAAACTCCGAGCATAGCCCTCTCCATAGCTCGCTGAGCGACCTTGAGCTTCCTCATACGGCCAGCAGTGAAGGACCACGTCTCAGTTCCGTAAGTCATCACTGGCAACACGCACTGGTTGTACAATTTCGTTTTAAGGTTTTGAGGTATGTCTGACGAGAAGATGTGTCGTAGCTTCCCGAACGCTGCCCAGCCGAGTTGAATCCGTCGATTGACCTCTCGGTCGAAGTTGGACTTACCTAGTCGGACTATTTGTCCCAGGTAAACATACTCGTCAACAACTTCGAGCTTAGTGCTCCCAACAACTACCGGCATAGGTGTGACATGGACATTAAACATAATCTTTGTTTTGTCCATGTTCATCTTAAGACCTATCCGTTGGGAAACACTATTGAGGTCATTGAGCATAGTGCTTAGGCCCTCCAGCGATTCTGCCATAAGGACTATATCGTCGGCAAATCGAAGGTGAGTGATGTACTCGCCATTGATGTTGATACCGTATCCTTTCCAGTCCAGAAGCTTGAAAACGTCTTCCAATGCAGCGGTGAAGAGTTTCGGGGATATGACGTCACCCTGTCTTACACCTCTCTGCAATTGGATAGGTTTCGTACTCTGGTTCTGTACTCGGATAGCCATCGTAGCCCTACTGTACAAGCACTTCAACACTTCGATATACCGACAGTCAACTTGGCACCGCTGAAGGGACTGCAGCACCGCCCAAATTTCGACGGAATCAAAGGCTTTCTCATAGTCCACATACGCCAGACATAGTGGCAAATTGTACTCTTCGGACTTCTGTACAACTTGCCGAAGGGTATGTATGTGGTCTATGGTGCTAAAGCCCTTTCGGAAACCGGCTTGTTCGGGAGGCTGGAAGTCGTCAAGTCTGCGCGCGAGACGATTCGTAATGACTCTCGAAAACAGCACGTAGACGCGGCTCAGAAGGGAAATCGGTCTGTAGTTCTTCAAGAGAGCGTTGTCACCTTTCTTGAAGAACAAGACCACCGCACTTCTGCTCCACGCCTCCGGTGTAATGCCACCATGGAGGACGGAATTAAAGAGCTTCTGAAGGACTTCAAGTACCGGTCTTCCACCCGCTTTCAGAAGCTCCGCTGTTATTCCATCCTCGCCTGGGGCCTTACCGTTTTTAAGGTGCTGGAGAGCCATTCTAATCTCGCTCAGACTGACGTCCGGGATATCTTCGGAATAGTGTCGGATGAGACTCGCTCTTGGATCGTTACTCACACTTGCGTGTGGCTCCAACGATGACGTGTACAGCTGCCCATAGAACCTCTCAATCTCACTCAAAATCTCAGGTGTCCCGGAAACGATGTTGCCACATTCTGTCTTCAGCTTTGACAGTTGGCTCTTTCTGGCAGACAGATCTCTGGCAAAGACTTTGGAGCCTTGATTCCGCTCGATCGCTTCTTCAATACGAGCTGTATTGAAGTTGCGTAAGTCCCGCCGCATGCATTTTGAGATCTGTCTGTTCAGATGCCTGTATGCTGTCAAGTCTGTTGAAGAATGTAGCTTCATCTCCCGTCTAACAGCCATGAGATTAAGAGTGTGATCGGAGAGTTTTTGTGTTCTTCTGCGGCGGGTCTTGCAGAACTTAGCTCCGACCGCATGGACAGTTTCCACGAGCTTGTCATTCATATCGTCCACTTCATTGCAGTCTTCTAGGCACTGAAAACGGTTTTGTAACTCGAGCTGAAAGGTTTCGGGACTTTGGATTAGAGCACGAGGGGGACGGAGCGTTGACTTCATTAGACGAGACCTCTCCAACTTAACGTTTAGGTTCAGTGTGCCTCTAACCATTCGGTGATCGCTACCAGTTTTCACCCTTGCGATCACGGAGACATCACTGAACAGTTGTCGTCTGGTCGTCATAATGAAGTCAATCTCATTTTTTGTCGAACCGTCGGGGCTCGACCAGGTCCACTTCCTGTGGGGCCGCTTCTGGAAGAAAGAGTTCATCATAAAGAGTCCCTCTTTCTCCATGAAGTCGGCCAGCTGCTGGCCCCTTGGGTTCCGTTGCCCTATTCCAAATTTCCCTACTTTCAGCTCACCGTTCTCTCTTGTGCCTAGTTTTGCATTGAAGTCTCCCATTAACACCGTATATTGGGTTTTGGAGGAATGCATGGCTCTAGAGATATCCTCATACATTTCCTCCACCTCCTGATCGGGGTGTGCCGAGGTTGGTGCGTAAACCTGTATGACCTTCAGCGAATACCGTTTGGTGATTCTGAGTATAAGGTACGCAACCCTCGTCGACACACTCCCGATCTTTACAACGTTGTTAACGAGAGACTTGTGGACGATAAATCCGACACCTCCTTGGGACAGATGGTCGCCCTCCCGGTGATAGAGCAAGTTGCCGGATTCGAGGATTACCGTGTCCTCCCCCTCTCTTCGGACTTCGGATAATCCTATAATATGCCAGCGCAACTTGTCTATCTCTTCTTCCAGCTCCACGATCTTCTCGTCAGTCCTCAGGGTGCGTGCGTTGTACGTTGCCAGGTCGAGTCGTCTAAGGTGGCAACCGAACCTCCACCGGAGATTCTTAGCACCCCCTGCCCCGCCGTTACCATGGTCGCCACCGTAGCCAGGAATAGCGGGGCCGCCGGGGACTGGGGGCCGTCTGTTTGTTGCTTTAGTCATTGGGGGGGTATTTGCCATAGTTGCCACGCTTGGCGAGCGGGTTGGCAACCGCAGTTTTTTTATTATAATTTTGGCTATTATCAGGAAGATGCTGCTGCCCATCTTCTGCCTGTTTCCCTTTGTCGCCTTTTACGACACCCACGGGAGGATATGGGGTAGTGGATATTCTTGACCGCCACTACACGGCAAAAAATAAAAATTGTATAAACAAAATTATTGTTAAGTGAAATTATGTTTAAAAAAAAAGTCCCGCTGGGTTTCTTGCTGGTTCTTCCCAGGACAGAGGTATTTTCCGAACCAGTGGTAAATAAAATAATGACTTTCAATAAGTATTATGTAATAATTCATATTGAATAAAAATCATTCTATTCTATTCTATGTGTACTACTATGATGCTCGTTCTATCGGTTGTAGCTCATTTTATTCTGAAGTATGCATCAAGAGAAACTTAGAGTGTGTACTTGTTGTGAAAAAGATTTATATAAAACATACAGTGGCTACTAGATAGTCAAGTTTTTGCCTAAAGTCCAGTATATTGATTTATATAAACATTTCTTTTGCATGTGCAAAAACGGTTATAGTCATGGCATGAAACATAGTGCGGGTAGCTTTCTGAATGACAAGATATAGGCTTTATGGTATCAAATTCGATGACATGTTTTTAATTTTTATTTTTTCAAGCAATTATAAGCCTCATAGTATTTTGCTAGATCGAAAGAAGAACCAAGAACGCGACCTAAAGAAGAAGAATGCGATGTACTGGCCTCGCTGAGCTAGTGAGTTGTGGCAACCGCAGTACCAGTCACGTCATATTTTTTTGGCGCAGATAGGATAGATCTAACCAAAAGGTTGTGAAAAAATTCTAGGGCAACTACAAAAGGTTGTGGAAATATTCTAGGGCAGTACAAAATGTAGAACAATATTTAAAAAGAAATGTAAAATCCCCACAGAGAAGTGTTACATACATAAAATACATAACATATACAAGCACATAGACAAACATTCAGTCTACCAACAATAATTTATAGGCAAATGTAGGTCTTGTTCCATGCAGGAATAGAACCTGTCGCCCTGTAGAGTTGCTGCAGCCAAACGTTTAACGACTGTGCTACCAAGCTGCTTAATCATTGGAAAGTATTTTTATGTCAGTTTGATCTAAAACTGATTTAACAATTACAAATCACAAAAAAGCTGAATAATTTTGTACATTTTTAATTTTCTTCAACCCCTTTCTTAGTTACGAGACATGTCATAAAAGCTATAATTAATGAACTTATGGGGCCCAATAAATTTCTAAATGAATACTAGGACAACAATTTGGATATAGCAAAGTGATGCATGTGTTATAGACATGGGGGTTATCAGTTTTTTATGTTAAAAATTACACTAATACGAAGTTTTTACATTGATGTCATAAATCATTTTTAAATGATCGTATGTAGCAAGTTTTGATTACAGTTTATGTTGTTATGATTACCAGGGATTGACTAAAGTTTTTTTTGTTTATATAGAAAATCCTAGTGTGGAGGTAACATTTTTATATATACATACTAGGATTTTCTCCTGTATCGTAAAGGCAGTTTACATAAATAAATTGCACAAGGACAAACATTTAGACCCTCAGCACTCCATCTCATTGCTAAGCCACTAAGGTTTGAATATTCAAAACACGACTTTTAAGACTGGCATCACATCTCAATTAGACTGAAAGGCAGTGAATATCTAGTAGGCTGATAGTTTCGTTGCTTCGTCGCGTAACGGAATGAATATGATTTTACGTTATAAGAATATAGTACCGTAGCTGTGTTGCGTTTGGATTGAGTGTTATTGTAAGAACTGTTTTCTGGGTGCAGCATATTGATATAATATGCTATATGCTTGTAACCATTTTTAGTTATATAGTTATATTGTTTTGATATATCAAACTCACGGCTAAGTTGTTACAATATATTGGTGGTTTCACAATAACAGATAAATATTTACTCTACTATTAGTAAATAAGGACATGACAAACCTGTAGAACCGCCGCCGCAGAATACCTCTGCCATTGTCTAGCTTATCGGCGACTGCAGCACCATATATTTCCATGGATGCTGTGAACACCACCAATTCATACCACTGAGAAACCTGGAATTGAAGAGAATGGGCGGTAATGAAATATTTAAAGTTTATTGAGGGGTGAAGGGCTTTTTTAATTTATATATTTTAAGCTACAATTTATATATATTAATATTCTTACTGTTACAGCTTATTAAAGTCCAATTTTGAACATAGGCTTCCCCATGGATTGCCTTATAGGGGGATATTTGCCATAGTTGCCAACGTTTGGTAAGCAGGTTCGCAACCGTAGTTTCTTATTATTAGTCATTATTAGGAAGATGTTGCTGCCCCTCTCCTGATTTGTTTCCCTCGTGGCCTTGTAAGAATATTCATTACACCATATCATTCCGTAGGTGTCGTAAGAGGCAACATTAATTAATTACTGGACACTAAATATAACTGTAACTAATTTCAGCTGGTCACGTTTTGAGACGGTTATTAGGCTAGGAAAGAAAAATTAGTTGCTGCTGTTTTTAAGAGCCGCACCTTACTAGTGCTCAGAAACAGGCCTGTTTGGATTCATCTTAGATTTACCAACACAATGCAGAAACTAAAGGCCAGTCAATAGTTCGGCTGTTTGAAAATTAGCCAACGCCTGCCATAATGAAGCAATCAAAAAGTACAGGGCAGATTTTGATTAATACTTCTCTGTGCTTCTCGTACACTTTAGCGGGGTATTGACACCATCAATTCCTTTACGAATTTGTAATAGCATCAATGTTGAAAGGTTGCCAAATGCTTGCCAAGTGTTCACTGTTGTGAGTAATAAGTAACTGAACACAAGGCACATTTGGCACAATGTGACTTCTTTTATAGACTCCTTGTGACACATGAAACTATTTAGATGCTGGTGGAGAGTTCTTTGAGAATTTATAGTAATTGTTTATAAAACTCTAACCATAGATTTATTTTTTAGTTTTGCAATACAAATGATTAAACAATCTTTTACAGGTTACATTGAAAAATGTAGTACCACAAAATATATTAATATAAGAATTATTCATAACGGCAAAGTCGGGTAGGGATGCCCTAGACGAAGATTTATCGACCAAATCGGCGATACATTGAAAATGGGCCAGATTAGGAGTACCCTTAACCGACGAGCGTGTATGCATAAATATATGGATGTAAAGGAGGCGAGAGAAGTGTGTCAGGATCGCGCCAAATGGAAGTCCGTAGTCTAGTCTCTGCCTATCCCTCTGGGTGACAGATGTGAGCAATGATCTAAATGCAATCTGCATTTATTGCTCAGTTGTTGGAATCTCCATTATATAAACAATATAATCTTGCATAAAACCCTACACAAATGAAATTTATGAAGCATATATTCTATACATACATTTAAAAACATCATTCCAAGAATTAACTTCATTACAAAAATGTTGTACATTGCGTGATTAGGTGTTTTTAAACAAAATTATTAATAACACTGTAAATTCATAATTTTTAATACAAAACTTTTAGTTAAACTGGTTAAAATTGAATACTTGTTCCAACAAAACTTTCAAGATACCATTCGAAAAAACTAATTATTGTAAGAATAGACTTTTAATCCAAGCTTACAGTAACAATCACAATACTTTTTAGAGACACCAATGGTAAGTGGATATTGAGGCCCATAGACGGCTATATCTATACTTGATTAAGAATCTAAATGCAGATGCATTGTCACCCCTTAGAACTGAGATGGAATGCCTAGTTTCTAGTAAGAAAAGGGTCTCCAGTTCTTTACACTTATCATATGAAACAGCAGTATTAACTGCTATTCTGTGAATTCTCTGATCTAGCCAACTCATTCCTGCTACAAATGTATAATTTTAGCTGTAGCATAGCTCGACCACATATAATCTTCTTTATATATAAAAATTATGTGTCACATTGTTTGTCCGCGGTGGACTCCTAAACTATTGAACTGATTTCAATGAAATTTTGCACACTCTGAGCAGTTTCATCAACTTAAGAGATAGGATAGTTTTTATCCCGATAAATGACACTCAATATTTTTTTATTGCAAATTTAAGGATTTTTTAATAGGACAGAGGGTCGTCGGTATAGGCAGAACAATGTATGCCTGGCGAGCTAGTAAAAATATATAATCTAAATAATAAATATTCTTCCATTGTAGTGAAATTAAAAGTTACAGACTGTATACATCGCACTGCTGGGCATAGGCCTCCTCTCATTTCTAAGAGGGTGGTTTGTTTTCCATATAATATAATAAATGAATAAATAGACTTTAATTTACCTAGAAGAATTACTTACTATATCTAAGAAGTAATCAACGTGTGGTCTTTTATGCACAAAGAATCTAACTGGGTGTTTGTCTATAGTCACTTTGAGCACAAAATCAGGAGGGGTACCCGGCTTTACTGTTGGCCGCAACATTGCATCATGATGTGAATGTATAAGTGTTTCATCTAAATCAAGCACCAGCATTTTCCTTTTTACTAGACCTGAAAATGGAGAAGCATTTATTATAATACATATAATAGTACTATAAACTGTATCATAAGCCCATTCTAATACTTTGATAACCAATTTATATAATTTCAGGCTTTTCATAACACTGGGTATCCTAGTTTTGGCTACCCTCTCCCACAAATGTATGTACTTTAAAAAATAATTGTAACAGATAAGTTATGCAATGGACTTAACTAATTGTGGGAGAATGTAATAAAGGTTATTTCATTGCATTAATTTCTTTTCTATTTCCATATTCTAATATATCACTATTACCAAGTAATTTTCTTATTATTGCTTAAAAGTAAAGGCAAAATATATGTTATTACTGAAAAACAAAGAGCCTAACCAACATCATCATCATCATCATTCATCATTACAGCCCTTCACAAGTCACTGCTGAACATAGGCCTTCCCCAAGAAATGCCACAAAGCACGGTCCTGAGCAACCTGCATCCAAAATCCACATCCATCCTAACCAACATGTTCAGATATAATTATTAACTTATAAAAATACATGTTTGTGTAGTTATGCATTTCATGCATGTACCATATAGTATTATTTGAGCATTTTATTACTATATATATATCAATATATATATTGTAACCTATGCCACAGCACATGACGAAGAATCATTTTAAAACTAGATTTTTCAACCCAACATTATAAATTTAAACATTAAATACAGACCAGATAAACATAACCCTTGTTTTGGGTTGTCACATAAAAAACTAAAATAGGTTACAATTTTGAGATATTTTAGCCACTTAAAAATAAAATCATTCTAATAATTTATTCAAAAGTATAACATTAAATCATATCAAAATAATAAAATCTATAGAAAATGTGATTAGCGACTGAATTTGTCCTGTTAAATTATTTAGTAAATTAATTAATCACTAAAATTCTTAGTAATTACAAATGCCTGTTACTTGATAATTATTTAAATGTTTAAAAGTTGAGTAGCTTAATGTTTGTTCCATATTATGAATAAAATTAACTTGTTTACATGAGAATATACACATAAAATATTGTATGTAAAAGGTATTTATTGATAATGCACGTGCAAGTACGTGATAAAAATATAGTTGCAAATCATTCAAACTAAATGCAATAACAATAATAAGGTACTGATAAAACTGATTATACTTACTCAACCTGTGTCTAGATACTGGCGAGAGTGGATAGATTTCATATTTGACAGATTGATATTGAGCCAACTGTAAAAGAAACACCACATGTAGGTACACAATATGCGTATGTAAGTCACCAAATGGACGATTTAATTGCGAAACTTTATATTTACCGCTCGATATTGCTTTCTAAACATATAACAAAAACAACTCCATACTTTGGATGCGATTAGCATGAACGTGCGTAGGCCCATCTGCAATTGTTTCAGCATTTGAAAGGTTTATAAAACAATTTCTAAAGTATAGATACCGTCACTTTCAAACAAAAACGTAGGATACGCGATCATTGACGGGGTAATTCAAAACAAATTCAATAAAACTAAGCGCCGAAAACATCTAACCCGCCATGACATAATCGACCCAAATCACAGACCACAGACATAGACTAATATATAATACTGGAGAACCACAGACTACTTAGTGGATGGATAGAACCACAGACTACTTAGTGGATGGATACTACGTATTCACAGACCATAAACAAAATAGAAATTTGTAAATGTTAACGTTCTGTTATTGTCTGTGGAATAAGGGTTGCTATACCGATTTCATTAAATTTTCGATTTTCATTACTGAACATTAATAATAAAGGAATGTTTAATCTTAACATTGCTTCCAGATGATCCAGACCTACGCAAAAATGAAACGAAGCAACTAGAAGACAAGTCTGGGCTATGAGTATTGTAAAAAAAATAGCAATTATTTATTAGAAAAATTTGTAATCTACACAAATAAATAATATTGAAGTGTCTGTTTGTAAAGTCAAAATAGCAGCTTTTTACAAAGTGCGTATGAAAGTATATACATTACTTACAAAATTAATTAGGGTTCCATGCAAAAAAATTGAAACCCTAATTTACACGCGGGCGAAGTCGCGGGGAACAGCTAGTAAAAAAGAATAAGAAAATAGTTCAAAACCCTAATGCGGTAAAAAATCATTGTAATCAAATAATTTAATTTATGTTATTTTTAAAACATTTCATACATAATATTGTAATTAACTTTGCACAAAAAGTAAGTAGTAATAATTCAACATTCAGTAACACAAAAGTCAGAAAAGCCCATAAAGGTATTTTTCAAATTACAACATTATTGGAAATACATATGGAGTCAAAAACATTTTTAGATATATGATTACATGTGTATAATAAGATTTGAAGGATCGCTGTAGTATGGATCTTAAATCGTTTGTTAGTTGAAACTACTGATAAGGTTTGCACAAAAAAGAAAAGGTAGGACAGTCTAGCAGTTTCCACGGCCTTTGGCCCACTGCACTTCGATCCTTTTTCGGGGTAACTGTTGGCATTCCACTGTGGTTCAGCATTTGTTTATTAGAATAAAACTGTCTCTGACAAGACTTAATTTAATTTTTGTGCGGAGCAGAACGGTAAGTAACTCACTGATGCAAGGTAATTGTTAGAGGAACTAGCACCATCTAGTGGCAAAATCAGATGCTTCAACGGCACCGTGGCGCGAATTTTCGATTATCGTGCCATCGACTTCGTTTTCATGTTCTTCTTTTAAGGTTTAGACGAGGTGGGGAATAGGACCAAAGTAAGTAGTTGCAAGCTTTAACATACTACTATATCATACTGTTACTTACTACTAATTCTTCTGGCAATTGCAATTTTCTTCTGTTGGTACTGTTTGTTTTTGTTTCATCTTGAAATTTTCATTTAAAGATGTAAATCGTACTGGATCGTGAAGAGTTATTTTCAATTAAACATCTAAAGAGAATAGCAAGAATAAAATTAAAGCTGATTTTAAGAAGACAATTGGGTTTGTTGCAAATCTTAGAAAATAAATACTAAAGCAAGGAAATAAACGCCTAACAAAACAAAATGCTAAATTAACGAAAATAATTTCGGAACTTCAAATGAAATCACTAATCTTGTTTTTTTTTTTAAATCATTTGCTGTCCGTTAGACTCGCTAAAACTCGAAACTGACTCTACCGATTCTGATGAAATTGTTTGTGTATTTGAGTGGAATGTTTTAGATTCACAATTGCACCCGGTAGATGGAGCTGTTGTCGAGATCCAGAAATCACCCGTGTGAAGCCGGGGCGGATCGCTAGTACCTTATAAAAATGCTGATATTGTATAACATTCTGATTGCTTATTGACTTGATTTTTAATAGGAAAAACAAAAAATAATGTCATTCCTTGAGAAAATTCACACTATGTTAGCATTTTTTGAGTTCACGTGCTTTTTGTACTTTACCACAAAGTACATTATATTAGAATACAATAGAACACGACAAGACGGGACAGGACAGGACAGAACAGGACAGGATGGGACAGAGCAGAGCAGAGCTAGAGGACTTTCCATGCCCATAAACATGGGATTGTTATATAGATGGAGTAGATAGTAGTCCTAGATTTACAAAGGAGGCATTATATGCAAAAAAGTCTAAGGTGAATTAACCAGGTCAAAACATTCATGTAGAAAAGCTAAAACTCTAGTTGGTAAGAATTGTATTGCTGCAGTTAATATAGGAGTTACTTTAGATGGTGATAATATGCGAAAGATCAGGCTTTAGTTTTTATGGCTACAACCCTAAACGAAATCTGTAAATAAAATACCTGTTAGGTATTTTCTAATCATGAGTATTTAAGTTGTTGTATTCAAGTAATGTTAATACTTAATACTTGTCACTACTTATCATTGGCCAAGATAGTAGGAAAGTACTGGCTTATAATATAAAACAATTAAAATGGGTAATGATTAAAATGTTACTCAAATTAATAGGAAGGCATGTACAATTGGCTTAAGAAGCTGCATTCGTAGTGTTCAATGAGCCTCATCAGTAGATTAAAATATACCTATTATAAAAGCTTATTTTACATACATTACACTAGGGATATTCACTTAACATCGATATATCGAATTTATTCGACGTTTTTCGTAAGATATATCGGATTGATTCGATGTTTTCACAAATCTTTATTGTATTCAATATATCGATATATTTATTTAGAGAAACATCGAATATTTGCTTTTTTTTGTTGAATCTATTTAAAAACTAAATAATTTTAACACTACTTGATGACTTCAATTTTAAGTAAAGTTCAATAAGATAGTGACTTCTGTGAGTGACCAGCTTAATTAAAGTGCGGGCAAGATAACTCTGCGCGCGGCCAAAATTGGAACTAATCGTGTGCCGCCTGCCGCATCTTACTGTTTATGGCAGGTGTCAAAACAGAATGTTAGGTATTTTATTTTTACTCGTTTTTGCAGTAAATAATCGTCACCATTGTACCTAAAGTGATTAAAATTGCTGTCAGGGATACTATCTTGAAGGTCAAACGTGCTTGTGAAGAAGAACGAGACAATATCGGGCCTACAGTACCGTTTTCCAAAGTTATAGTCCACGTTTCATATTTCACAGGTAATTTTTATCGCTGCCATAACAAATAAAACTCCCTAATTTTCTCGACTTGTTCGTTTTTAGTTTCATCGTGTCATTAATGCATTGTCTTTATTATGTTTTAGGCGTTTCTGAACGCATCGTCACCCGAATAACTCAAGAGGGTACCTACATAATGTAGGAGCAGCTTCAATTTCTAAAATTGTAACGACGGAAAAAACTAGGAGCCGGAGGGAAAAAAATGGTTTAGACGATTTTATATGTGGCGCTATAAGGCATTTAAATCAATCGTTTTACGCCGTGAAGAAAGAGATCCCTGCCGTAAATAAACTTTGGTTCGAATTGAAAGCTGATATTGATTTTAAATATGGCAGAATATCGTTGAGTAGTAGCTTAAAGACTATGTGCTACAAATACAAAAGGTGCCAGTTTAAACGAAAAGTATTGATGGAACGCAGTGATATTGCAGCTTGGAGAGCAAAATATATTCTAAGAAGAATATATTTTCTCTATCCTATTATCTAATATGTATTATCTAAGAATCGTCAGGAATTTGTGCAAATCTACCAATAAATTTCATTGAAGTGATGGATAATGCGTCCTACCACACATTTAAATAAGGTACCTACAATTGGCAATACAAAAGCAGAGTTCCAAGAGTGGATTACGAGAAATGGATGATTGTTGGACAAAAGCGCAATTATACGAATTAATCAAAAAAACAAAGGAGACCCACAGTATGAAAAATAACAAATGTTAAATGAACACGAACATGAGGTTCTCCGAAAAATTCAGGGTAAGATTTAGAATAAAGTCGCCTGAATTTGTGGGTGAGGGGTGGTGAAAGGAGGGGGAGGGGAGTTGTAGAGTCACTCCCCTATTTCATTTCCTGCCGGACGTGCTTAGTTTTTTATTAATTTTTAAAAATCTCATTTTGAGGTTATGTTTTCGTAATGTTTTTGACAATATAAACCTGATTTGTGGAGGCAGAGACTTGGGGGAGAGTAGCCCAACGTCACTCAACGTAGTGCAGTCGAGGGAAGCTCGGGCTCCTATTTCTGGATGGTTTATAAAAAAATAACCACGAAGGGGACGGAGGGACGGACTTCGGTCGCTCTTGCACCAAATAAAACACCAAAATGTTAACTTTTATAATTGCTTTAATAAGTAAACATATTTATAACTTCCACCATTTCCAAAAAAGTCGTAAAATAGCAAGCAATCGGTCTAGGGGTAGCAAAGTCGTCCAAAAATAGGAGACCGATAATAACAAGGAGTATATTCACGTAAATTCGGAAGCAACGGAAGTCTAGCAAGCGAGTCTCGAAGTCGAGTATAAACGTAGTGATTATATTCTCTTTGGTCGAGTATATCTGTTACTGATTTCTGTCAATGTCAAAAGTTCCGTTTCAGGCACAGAACACAATTACTCTTTATCAAGAGTATGGAGTGTAGAGTAGAAGGAGGAACACCTCTATACATGAAAAGTGTCCCTAAAAACGTGTCCAATAAGGGTGGCGCTGCAATAGCATAGGATAAATTTAAAAAGAAGCGCCAAAAGTAATTAGAATAAGTTAGAGAAATAAACAAGGACCGACCAATCCACTTGGTTTTGTAATACGTAAATAGTTGAGATTTTGTATACTGGCATTTTACTAACTACTCTAATCATGAAATTTTTTAAATATTTGAATTCAGCTGACTTTACTCCGTTCACAACAGCTATCTTCATATCGTAGTTTTTCAGACGCCAGCGCTATTGTGGTAGGTTTTGGAACCTCTATTTTCAGTAAATAGTAGGACACTTTTTTAACTTTCGCCCCTTATAAGATGGTTCTCCTTGTACTCTACATCTATAGTCATCTATAATCATCTATAGTTATGTAATTTTATTTTCTGAAGACAGATTTTTTTATAAACTACACATTATTATTGATGTTTTTTATTGCTTTTGAACATAATATTTCCACGCACGTTACTAATATATAACATATGTTATT